TTGCAATCTTTCATCAATTTTCCTCATCCGTCCACGACCAGGGAGATTAGCTACAGTGCCATGGGTTGCAAACTTCTTGATAATGTTGCGCACTGTGGACAAAGGCAAATCTAGTTCTCTGGAGATGGACTTGTAACCTTGAGATTGTTGATATTTTGCCACAGTTTTGGTTCTCCGGTCCTCAGACAGTTCTCGTCTCCTCTTTCTGTTGTCCATGCTTAGTGTGGCACAGACAGACACACAATGCAAAGGTTAAGTGAACGTCTCTCCTTTTTATCTGCTTTCAGGTGTGATTTCTATATTGCCCACACCTGTTACTTGCCCAGGTGAGTTTACAGGAGCATCACATGCTTGTAACATTCTTATTTATCCGCAGTTGTGAAAGGGTGCCAATACTTTTTGTCCAGCCCATTTTTGGAGGTTTGTGTGACATTATGTCGAATTTGCTTTCTTTCCTCCCTTTTTTTGTTTTGTCCCAATACACACAAAGGGAATAAACATGTGTATAGCAAAACATGTGTTAATGCAATACGTTTCGTGAGAAATACATGATTTCCTGGAGAAATATCAAGGGTGCCAACAATTTTGGCCATGACTGTATATTGTATGCTAGAGGAGAAAATGTACACTAAAAATATAAACTATATTTGCCCCGCCCTCCAAATCATGTGATTCAGGTGTTCCAATCACCTCCCAATCATGTGATTCAGTGTGTTCCAATCCCCTCCATATCATGTGATTCAGGTGTTCCAATCCCCTCCCAATCATGTGATTCAGGTGTTCCAATCACCTCCCAATCATGTGATTCAGGTGTTCCAATCCCCTCCATATCATGTGATTCAGGTGTTCCAATCCCCTCCATATCATGTGATTCAGGTGTTCCAGTCCGCTCCATATCATGTGATTGAGGTGTTCCAATCCCCTCCCAATCATGTGATTCAGGTGTGTTCCAATCCCCTCCATGGACACAGGTGTATACAATCAAGCCCCTAGCCATGCAGACTGCTTCTACAAACATTGGTGAAAGAATGGGTCGCTCTCAGGAGCTCAGTGACTCCAAGCGTGGTCCCGTGATAGGTGGCCACCTGGACAATAAGTCCATCCGGGACATTTCCTGGCTACTAAATATTCCACGCTCAACTGTTAGTGGGATTATAACAAAGTGGAAGCAACTGGGAACAACAGCCACTCAGCCCACCAAGTGGTAGGCCACGTCACATGACAGGGCGGGGTCAGCGCATGCTGAAGCGCACAGTGCGCAGAAGTCGCCAACTGTCTGCAGGAATCAATAACTAAAGACCTCCAAACTTGGTGTGGCCTTCAGATGAGACCCAACAACAGTGCGTAGAGAGCTTCATGGAATGGGTTTCCATGGCCGAGCAGCTGCATGCAAGCCTTCCATCACCAAGTGCAATGCAAAGTGTCGGATGCCGTGGTGTAAAGCACGCCGCCACTGGACTCTAGAGCAGAGTAGATGTGTTCTCTGGGGTGACCAATCTGCTTCTCTGTCGGAAATCCAATGGACATATGGTCAAACCTTCCCATAGACACCCTCCTAAACCTTGTAGATGACCTTCCCAGAAGAGTTGAAGCTGTTATAGGTGCAAAGGTGCAGCAACTCAATATTGAACCCTACAGACTAAGACTGGGAGGCCATTAAAGGTCATGTGTGTGGAAAGGCAGGCCGGCCGGCCAATACTTTTGGCAATATAGTGTATATATAGTGATGGCAGGAAGCTCACAGAGAGTTCCTCAATGGAAAATCGCTGCCTGAGGTTCTCTGTGGGTAGACAAGGTCAGGCCACCTTTCTCTATTTATTTAGCTTCCCCTTAGGGAGGAAGCCTGGAGAAGCGACTTTATGCATTTTTGGACTACTTGCCTCCCTTTTGGCATGGAATGCTGGACTGGGACACGCCTGCTGTTGGTAACTTGTCTCTCTTCTCTTTTCATGACTCTAAACTAGGCCAAACTGTCTGCAACATCAACTAAATGCGTAAATATCATTGCTTTAATTAATTCAGTGAGTAGTTGGAAAGGTATTCTTCATGTGGACTTCTCCTTGTTCTCAGCTCTACATAGGAACATCTGTGGGAAACAGCCCTTCACATTGGGTCTCAATGGAGTCCATTGTTGGCTAAGCTAGGATGGGTGTGAATGTCTCCAAGCGGGTGCTGGTTAGGCCAGTCTGGGTTGCACTGCAGGTGTTCTGTAGGTGAACAGTGCTGGGATCCTGAAGCCCCATGTTTCAATGCTCTCAGCTGGATCGAGAGGATACATGGTAGACATAGTTGGAACAGTCTAAAGAGCGCACAGTGCGCAGAAGTCGCCAACTGTCTGCAGAGTCAATAGCTAAAGACCTCCAAACTTGGTGTGGCCTTCAGATGAGCCCAACAACAGTGCGTAGAGAGCTTCATGGAATGGGTTTCGATGACCGAACAGCTGCATCCAAGCCTTCCATCACCAAGTGCAATACAAAGTGTCAGATGCTGTGGTGTAAAGCACGCCGCCACTGGACTCTAGAGCATAGAATAGTGTTATCTGAAGTAACAAATCATGCTTCTCTGTCTGGCAATCTGATGGACGTGTCTGGGTTTGATGGTTGCCAGGAGAACAGTACTTGCCTGACTGCATTGTGCCAAGTGTAAAGTTTGGTGGAGAGGGGATTATGGTGTGGAAATGTTTTTCAGGGGTTGGGCTTGGCCCCCTAGTTCCAGTGAAGGGAACTCTTAAGGCAACATTTGGACAATTTCATGCTCCCAACTTGTAGGAGGAGTTTGGGGATGGCCCCTTCCTGTTCCAACATGACTGCCCACCAGTGCACAAAGCAGGGTCCATAAAGACATGGAGGAGCCAGTCTGGGGTCGAGGAACTTGACTGTCCTGCACAGAGTCCTGACCTCAACCCCATAGAACACCTTTGGGATGAATTAGAGCGGAGACTGTGAGCCAGGCCTCCTCCCCGACGACATCAGTGCCTGACCTGACAAATGTGCTTCTGGAAGAATGGCCCAACCTTCCCATAGACACCCTCCTAAACCTTGTGGACGGCCTTCCCAGAAGAGTTGAAGCTGCTATAGCTGCAAAGGGCGGGGCCAACTCAATATTGGACCCTATGGACTAAGACTGAGGGGCCATTAAAAGTCATGTGCGTGGAAAGGGCGGGGCCAACTCAATATTGAACCCTACGGACTAAGACTGGGGGGCCATTAAAGTTCATGTGTGTGGAAAGGGTGGGGCCAACTCAATATTGAACCCTACGGACTAAGACTGGGGGGCCATTAAAGGTCTTGTGTGTGGAAAGGGCGGGGCCAACTCTATATTGAACCCTACGGACTAAGACTGGGGGGCCATTAAAGGTCTTGTGTGTGGAAAGGGCAGGGCCAACTCTATATTGAACCCTACGGACTAAGACCGGAGGGCCATTAAAGTTCATGTTCCTGGAAAGGCCGGCGACCCAATACTTGGGGCAATATAGTGTATATTGTATGATAGAGGAATAAATGTAAACAAAAAGATACATTGTATGTAGTGGACTGAGCCCTGGTTCACATTGCATGCAGGGCTGGATGTAGCCTGATCTGATCTGGGGGTCAGTAAAAAAAGGGACAGACTAAAACATTTAATGTAAAAAGAGCTTAACGTGTAATAAACTGCCTAAACCTCAATCAATTGATTTGAAACTTTGCACAGCCCAAGTTCTCAACATCCCAAACATTTCCTAGAAGTTTCATAGATTTCAGCCTTCCACATAGAAAATTGGGGACATTAAGCTTGTTTTTTGGGGAGCTTAATGTGGCTTAACGTACAAATAAGAGCTTAGATGTTGACCAATCTCCCCCAAACTTTACACATTAGAAGATTCTATCTATGTCAACATATTCTGAACATTTCAGGTCATTTGGTAAATCACACCAAAAGTTATTCACATTAAGCTATATTCCACAGTGCTAAAACATTTAACGTGAACAGCTTAATGTAAAAAGAGCTTAACGTCCCATAATGTGCCTAAACCTCAATCAATTGACTTGAAACTTTGCACAGCCCAAGTTCTCAATGTCCCAAACATGTCCTAGAAGTTTACATAGATTTTGATTTCCCACAAAGCAAGTGAGTGACATTAAGCTTGTGTAGCCCCTACCACCTTGTGTAGTGGCCGTAGCGTGGGACAGCCAATGGGGAATATTATGAGTGTGTGTTTGTGGGCTCATCAGCCAATCAATGGGGGTTTCTTGGCTTGTGGTGCATGCTTGGGAAGTGCATACTTTCATGTTCCAAATACCAGTCAATATTGGCACAAAACCTTCTGGCTTCTGCTAGAAAGCTGAACATGAAGAGGAACTTCATCTTTCGGCATGACAACGACCCAAAGCATACATCCAAATCAACAAAGGAATGGCTTCTCCAGAAGAAGATGAAAGTTTTGGAATGGCCCAGCCAGAGCCCAGACCTGAATCCAATCGAAAATCTGTGGGTGATCTGAAGAGGGCTGTGCACAGGAGATACCTTCGCAATCTGACAGAAAGTTTTTTGGGGGAGATTGGTCAACATCTAAGCTTTTTTGTGTACGTTAAGCCACATTAAGCTCCCCAAAAAACAAGCTTAATGTCCCCCATTTTCTTTGTGGAAGGCTGAAATCTATGAAACTTCTAGGGACATGTTTGGGATGTTGAGAACTTGGGCTGTGCAAAGTTTCAAGTCAATTGATTGAGATTTAGGCAGTTTATTACACATTAAGCTACATTAAGCCATTTTCACATTAAATGTTTTAGTCTGTCCCGTAAAAAAAGTCAGATGAGAGTATAATGTCTGCACTGTGTGGGACACTGACAGGCTCACAGTGTCATGACCTCGGAAACATCATTTATGTATTAGATTGTCATTTAAGAATAAGACCATTAAATACAAACTGTGCCCCCTATATCAGGTGACCCTATCAGTGTCCCTATTTATATCAGAAGTCCTCATCATATTCCCCCTTTACAGCCCCCTTACATCAGGTTTGTCCCCATCAGAGTGCCCCCTTACATCAGTGTCCCCATCAGAGTGCCGCCTTACATCAGTGTCCCCATCAGAGTGCCGCCTTACATCAGTGTCCCCATCAGAGTGCCGCCTTACATCAGGTGTCCCATCAGAGTGCCCCCTTACATCAGTGTCCCCATCAGAGTGCCGCCTTACATCAGGTGTCACCCATCAGAGTGCCGCCTTACATCAGGTGTCCCATCAGAGTGCCGCCTTACATCAGGTGTCCCCATCAGAGTGTCCTCTTACATCAGGTGTCCCCATCAGAGTGCCGCCTTACATCAGGTGTCCCCATCAGAGTGCCGCCTTCATCAGGTATCCCCATCAGAGTGCCGCCTTACATCAGTTGTCCCATCAGAGTGCCGCCTTACATCAGGTGTCCCCATCAGAGTGCCCTCTTACATCAGGTGTCCCCATCAGAGTGCCGCCTTACATCAGGTATCCCATCAGAGTGCCGCCTTACATCAGGTATCCCCATCAGAGTGCCCCCTTACATCAGGTATCCCCATCAGAGTGCCGCCTTACATTCAGGTATCCCCATCAGAGTGCCGCCTTACATCAGGTGTCCCCATCAGAGTGCCGCCTTACATCAGGTATCCCCATCAGAGTGCCCCCTTACATCAGGTAATCCCCATCAGAGTGCCGCCTTACATCAGGTGTCCCCATCAGAGTGCCGCCTTACATCAGGTGTCCCCATCAGAGTGCCGCCCTTACATCAGGTGTCCCCATCAGAGTGCCGCCTTACATCAGGTGTCCCCATCAGAGTGCCGCCTTACATCAGGTGTCCCCATCAGAGTGCCGCCTTACATCAGGTGTCCCCATCAGAGTGCCCCCTTATATCAGACTCCCCATCAGAGTGCCCCTTACATCAGATATTCCCATCACTGGGCCCCCTTACATCAGGTGTCTTCATTAGAGTACCCCTGTTACATCAGGTATCCCCATCAGAGTGCCCCTTATATCAGACTCCCCAATCATAGTGTCCTCTTACATCATATGTCTTCATCACTGGGCTCTTACATCACGTGTCCCCATCAGAGTGCCCCCTTAAATCAGTTGTCCCTATCAGAGTGCCCCCTTACATCAGGTGTCCCTATCAGAGTGCCCCCTTACATCAGGTGTCCCCATCAGAGTCCCCCTTACATCAGGGTCCTCATCAGAGTGCCCCCTTACATCAAGTGTCCCAATCAGAGTGCCCCTTTACACCATGTATCCCCATCAGAGTACCCCCCTTACATCGTGTCCCAATCAGAGTGCCCCTTACATCAGGGTCCCTCATCAGAGTCCCCCTTACATCGTGTCCCCATCAGAGTCCCCCTTACATCATGTCCCCATCAGAGTCCCCCTTACATCGTGTCCCAATCAGAGTGCCCCTTTCATCAGGTGCCCCCCTTAAATATAATCAGTTACTCCTATCAGAGGCCCCCTTACATCAACTGTCTGCATTAGACTGGGCTAATGCACTCTCAGGGACATGGGGGGGGGGGCACAGTTAAAATCTGGGGGGGGGGCATAGCCCACCCCAGCACTCCCCTAGATCCAGCCCTGACTGTGTGCAAATTGTAAATCATGGAACTTCACTTGAAGTCGCACGGTTTCAGTCACACGTCAATACGACCTCAGGTGCGACTTGCAGATATCTGTAGGATTTCATGCACAGAAGTCTATGCAAGCTGCACCGGAGAGATGGACAGAAGTAGTGCAGGAACTATTCCAATCGGTGCAACTTCGTCGGAGTCGCACCGATTCGAACGGTTCCATTTCTGATTATTGGATGAGGTTTGTCATGCGATTTGATTGGTCGCGTCAGTGTGAACCAGGAATATACAAAAAGATACCCTGTATACTGGAGGAAGAAATGTAAACTAACGACGCGTCGGGGAAGCTTCCCCTCGTTTACTAAGCCCTGGAGTCTATCTGCCGTCAGTCAATCATCCCCAATGCATGCTAGGGGGGGAAATGTTAACAAAACACAAATTGTGCTTCCTGAAGGGGAGACTCCTGAATGAAAGAAGGGGATCCTGGTGTGTGAAGGGGGGGTTCATGGTGTGAAGGGGGCTGTCTGTGAAGGAAAGGACTCCTGATGTGAAGGGGGGCTCTGATGTGAAGGGGTCTCATGATCTAAAAGGAGGTCTTCTGATATTAAAGGGGTGCCACTGATGTAAACAGGAGGACTCTTGAAGTGAAGGGGGCTCTCTAATGCGGAGGAAAGGACCCCTGATGTGAAGGGGGTCCTGATGTGAAGGGGGGGAGTCTGATGTGGAGTAAGATACTCCTGATATTAGGGGGGAATCCTGATGTGAAAAGGGGGACTCTTGATGTGAAAGGGGGGACTCCTGATGTGAAGGGGAGGAATCCTGATATGAAAGGAAGAAATCCTGATGTGAAGTGGGGAATCCTGATGTGAAGGAGGGGAATTCTCATATAAAAGAAGGAATCCTGATGGGAAGGAGGATAATCCTCATAATATGAAAGGGGGGG